ACAGGAGACCACAAGAGACAGCATGAAATAGCCCTAAGAAAATTCTCATTTGTTTTACCAATAGGTTGTAAATTGTTGGTGAAATATTTGTCCCATCATCCCAGATGTGGGACACTTATAAAAACTTAAATCAAGCAAGACATATACCACTTATGGATAACTTTGAAATAATTACTACGATGTACTTAAGAGCAAATCATTTGTTTTAAAGAAAAGGCAGTTTGCAAAAAAAAATATGTTTTTAGTCTTTTATAATTCTCATTAAAAGATTATCTAGCAAATTAAAAAATAAAAAAGAATTGAAAGCTTGGGACCTAGCGGGTTAAAAGGAGATATGGAGGAAGAAAGATCACAGATCTGTTGAGCATTTAATGGTACTTCATTCATTCAACAAATATTGTCTGAGCCACTCTCTTGGCCAGGCACCACACTAGAGTACCTGTCTTTGTTGAGGAGGGGAAGAGGGACCTGCAAGCAGAGAAGTAGAAGACAGTGTAAATTGCACTTTGGTGTGAGCACCTTGCACCGAGGCAGGTGAGGTGGCTGCTTAGTCCGTGAAAGGCTCTACAGAGGAAATGATGTCCCAGCCGAAACCTGAGGGGGAGTGTGGCTGGCCAGGCAAGGGCAGCATCTTCAGTGACCTGGAAGTGGCCCAGCAGCACTGGAGACCTTATGTTTTATTCCAGCAGTTTTTATTAGAAGTGATTTTATTGATTCTAAGGTTTCTATAGGGTATATTTTAAAGCTCATTTAGTAATATGTTTAGTGAATGGGCCCATTACCACCAGATCTGGGTTAGTGATTAATTCTAAGGCTTACAGAATTTATGGCATAAACTGAAATTTTTGAAACTGCTAACCTGAAAGAAGAGGAGTGGTTTTCAGTGTTTTAAGTCCCAGGTGTGATTTCATGTGTCTTTTAAGCCAAGATACAAAACCTGTATATCTCAGTTTATCCACCATTCAGCTGGGCGCGGTGGTGCAGACCTGTAACTGTAGCAATTCAGGAGGCTAAGGCAGGAGGATCACAAGTTTGAGGCCAGCCTTAGCAAGTTAGTGAGACCTTGTCTCAAAATAAAAAATAAAAAGGAATGGGTGGGAGGGAAAGGGAGAGAAAAGGGAAATTGCGTGGAAATGGAAGGAGACCCTCATTATTATACAAAATTACATATAAAAGGTTGTGAGGGGAATGGGGAAAAAAATAAGGAGAGAAATGAATTACAGTAGATGGGGTAGAGAGAGAAGATGGGAGGGGAGGGGAGCGGGGATAGTAGAGGATAGGAAAGGTAGCAGAATACAACAGTTACTATTATAGCATTATGTAAAAATGTGGATGTGTAACTGATGTGATTCTACAATCTTTGTAATGTTTTGAATAACCAATAAAAAAAAATTAAAAAAAAGGAATGGGGATGTAGCTCCGAGGTAGGTAAAGCACCTGGACTACCCATACCCCAACCTCATTCATTCTCTCCTTAAAGAAGTTCTAGGATTCTTGGGAGGGCACACATTTCCATTTGTGAGGAAGATGGGGAACAGTCTGCCTGAGGCACCATTGGGATACCATTCCTTGATGATATCAACACCCTGCAGACTGTCATTTCCAGCCTGCCCTGAGGCAGGGTGTTAACATAGCAACCTGCAGTGGGTGGGGAATTGGAGTTTCATATGCTGATGAATGTTCCTATATAGATAAGGCAGGAGGAGAGAAGGGCACAGTGAATGCAAGACCATCTCCCATCCCAATTCACTACAGGATTTCTTTTCACTAGAACATATGAATGTAAAAATGTTTATTTGTCATCCAGATTATTCCAGAAGAGTTTAAGGTAGAATAAGTGTGCTCTGGGTACTGGTGATTCTTCCAGTGCTCTCTCCAGCCTCATGCTTCCTTTGTGAAATGCATCTTCCAGGTAGCATACCCTGATTCTTGGTCCTCTGTCTGGCTTCAGAACCAGCCTGTCTCAGGCATGATAATGAGGGAGGCTGTTCTGACTTAGCCTGGGGGTTGCAGTCAAGTGATTCCATGAGTCTCACCCCCCCACACACCCCAGGTGCCCACCTGAGCTGGTCCTCTGTGGTCAATAGCCATAGCACACTATGACTTGGGGATTGGGAGGCACTGCTGGAGGTGGAGATAAATTATGTGTTGAAAATCCTTTAAAAGATGGGACAGTTTTGTGTTCTTCTTGCTCTCATCCCTTATCCATGTGTCTGCTCTTTCTGCCAGACCTTCACTGTGACAGCCAGAACCCCTAGACCTCTGTCTGTGGGTGCATCCCTGGAAGGTGAAGTGGGAGGCTTAAGCTATTATGCAGAAAGGACAGAGTCAACAATTGTGGTTTAGACCAAAAAATGAGGAAGTTATCAAGTACCACAAAGGCCCTGTGATAGCTCATACTAGGCCCTGATTGTTTTCTCCCAATAAAGGGCATTAGACTTGGAAAGGAAAACCCTTCACCTTGCTGGCAAGGGTTGGTCCTTAGAGTACACCGTTTACATTCTTATGTTCTTTACATTCAGATATTACAGGTGGTGAGAGATCTTTGAATTTACTTTCTCCCTCAATTTAAGCCAAGTGGCTATTGGGATTGGTACCTGGGTGGATTGTGTGAGAATTCCTGGTTGAGGACTACAAAACAAATTCTGCAAAAGGTATTGTTGGCTAAAACTCTTCTATTCTTCCTAGAATAAATTAGGGATTTTTAGATAAACCATTTTACATAACATCTTAAACAGAGCTCTAAAATGAAGATACCATGGTAAGACAATAATGAAAAAAAAGTTTATTAAGCACAGACCATGTGTGGGCAGTATGCTAGAGAGTTAAAATATATTATCTAGAATTTATAGCAAGACAGGTATAGTAATAATGGCTAATTTACTGAGGGCTTAATGTGTCAGGCTGTGCCGTAAATGTTTGATGGGATTATTTGTTTCTCAACAACCCTATGAAATAAGATATTCCTTTGTACCCATGTCATAGATAAAAGATCCAAAGCATAGAGAGGATAGAATCATAGAGCTAGACAAACTCTAAAGCCATGCCTCCAATGATTGTGCACACAGTCTCTTATTTTTTATGTTACTACAGATGAGGATCCTGAGGCTCTGAGTTTACTTGCCCAATGTAATTTAGGTCATAAGTGACATAATCTTAACCAAGTCTTCAGATTTTAAGTCTAGAATTATATTGACTATGTTAAAGCCAAGAATCCTAAACTTGATGAGAAAATAAAGCACAAAAAGAGGTGTAACACTCGACAACTAAGTGTATAAGTCAGTTTTACATTGCTATAATGAAATACCCAAGGTAGGCTAACATTATAAAGAGTGATTTAGTACACAATTCTGGGCCCAAACTAAGATAAGGCAAGCCCATTGATGTGCCCTCTTCTAAGGGTCTTCTTTCTTGTATCATATCCTGGTGGATTATATCAAGGCAAGAATGCATGTGAAAGCAAGAGTTAACATATAACATAAAACAGGAAGTTGGAGAACTTTTCAGGGGTCAGGCATGTTCTTATAACAACTCATTTTCTGGAGAACTACCTAAGTCCCTTCCAGGTACTGGCCTCTGGATGACCTAATAACCTCCCACTAGGCCCCACCTCCTCAAGGTCCTCCCACCATGCTGAGCACCACCCCTGCAACCCATGAGACCTTGGGGGGTTGCACTCAAACCACAGCACTAAGGTAAAGAGGCAAACTTTAGCTTAGAATTGGAAACTTCTTGTTGACCTCCTAGTCATCATCTCCATGCCCTAAAATAAAAAGAGATCCTTTTTATTTGCTTTAGGATTTAAGAAAGAGAGCTCTTTGACTTCCATTCTGTGTTCCAGGAAATATGAGGCCAGATGGACAGGGCTTATTCTTAACAGCTGTTCCCTAATCCCTTCCCCTCTCAGCCAAGGCACATGCAGAGGAGGAGCAGCCTCACCAGTTGGATCTCAGAGGCTTAGAAAAATCCTTGAAGACATAAATGGAAAACACACCACTGTACTCAGCAAACTGAGATGATGACAAAACCCACTTCAAAGGCTGAGGCAGGGGACAGTCTGATAAAGAGGAGGCATCAAGAGTGTTTGGAAAATCAGGACCCGAGGCCGTCCTGAGGAGCAGTACGCCTGTTCCCATGGCGGAACACATTGGCGATGTGGGGCTTAAAATTTTTCTCTGACTCCCTGGGAGTGTGGAGGAAAGGACTTATGGGAATGGTGTTAGGCACTGGGGGTGGGAGGGTGGATTCAAATAGTCATACAAAAGCCTTGCCTCCAAGCACAGTGGAATCTAAACAATCTGAAATAGTTCAAGCTCAAGAATTGGCATGTGCTTCTGAGCTACCACCCACCGAATAAAGCAAAGGCTGTTACACTTGGAGATCGCCCTCCTTAAAGTGAAATTGAGGCAGCAGTCTCTTGGTTTCAGGGGCCCACTTTGTTTGACAGTGTGCTTCAGTGAGTCCAAGGTGTTTTTTTTTTCTTCTTGGACTTGGATTAAACCCAAGGGCACTTTACCACTGAACTTCACACACCCTCAGTTCCTTTTATTTTGTATTTTGAGACAGAGTCTCACTAAGTTGTCCAGTGGAGACTCAAATTTGTGATTCTCCTGCTTCGGTCTTCTTGAGTTGCTGGGATTATTGGAACGTACTGGGTCTAAGTTTTCACTCACTTATCAACATTGAATTATAGGACAGTTTATCTTCATAACAGTTAATGTATCTTTCTTCTCCCTGGCTTAGAAGATCTGCTCTCTAAGATGGGAAATATACTTTATTGTGCTATAGAAACATAGACAGGAGAGACAGAAGACCTTCTGTTGTGGATTTGCCTTCTTGGGGGCAGAGAATTATTAGATGCCAGCTTGGAACGGCACTCAGCTGTGTTGCCCAGCTCTGGCTCCAGGGTCCATTTTAATGCATTTATATTGGTAGGTTAATTTGTGCTTCTGCCCATGAACACCATCATGCTCAGCTTCTTATTCTCTTATTTTTGACAGAGATGTGTGTGCAGACTCGGGCCATGCAGATCCTGGTGCCTCTAACTCCTCTAGTCCAGAGCACCTCACCTCTGGCCTCCAGCACAGGAAAGCATTGTGGCCAGGAGGGGTTAAACTTCGGCTGAAGCACAGGTAAGAGGCTCAGAGGTCCCTGTTGAACACTGGAGAAATAGGACTCAACTGCTAAAAGAGGAAATTTGGGGCATCTCTGAGGAACATCCCAAAGTTGCAGCTGAACAAAGACTTGTGGCTATTTACCTGTGAGTCAGATTGTGAGAATGGTGAACCTCAGTGCTTCCTGTGTGCGGGGACTTTGCATGGACTGTTTCACTGAGCTGGGCCTGTGGGGGCTTGCACTGGTAGAAGAGCTGTCCACTAGGAGGCAGTGGATCAAATTCAGGCAGTTTGACTGAGTTCACTCTTACTATCCTCTGGCTTCAGTATGGATATAGTGGAGCCTATTTCATAGAACAGCTGTGGAATTCAGTGGGATAAGATATTCAGAGCACTTAGCACAAAGTCCATTCGTAAATGAGAAAGTCCACTCGAAAATTAGAAATATTAGGTGATGATTTAGTGCTGCTGTGGTATATTCCATCATTAAAACAAAATATCTGAGATAATTAACTTATTTAAAAAAAAAAAACATTAACCTTGGCTGGCAGTTTGGGAGGTTCTAATTGGAAATCAGGTGGATCCATTGCTTTTAGGCCTCGGGTGGAGATGCCAGATTGCATAAGAAGGGAGCAAATGGTAGAGCAAACTACTCACTTGGTGGCCAGGAAGCCAAGTGGAATTACATGAGACTAGGGTCCCATGATCCCCTTCGAGGGCACACCCTGCAGTGACGTAAGGACCTCCCTCTAAAGGTTCCACCACCTCCCAGTAGCATTACCCCAGGGACCAAGCTTTTAACACATGGATCTTAGGGGCACATTCAGACATCCAAATGATAGCATGAGGTCATCATTACCAGTATAATTCTCATTGTCACAGAAGTGAGCGCCAGCTTGAAAGACAGTATAATACAGGGAATAAGATGGAACTGACATGGAATAAGATGGAACTTACAATTTCTCTATCTAGAGTTCAAATCCCATTTCTCCCACTTACTGTGTAACCACAGGCACATTATTTAAGCGTTCTCTGTTTCCACTCTGTAGGAGAGCTTAACAACTGATCTACTTCCTAGGGTTGCCAAAAGAATTAAAATGCTGATACACCTAGAACACTTAAGACGGGCATGTCATAATGGTTATCATTGTTATCAGTAATCCTCATTTCAATTAGGAGAGTTATTGCATATAGACATGGTGACTTGCATTATCAACAAGTAAACAGTATAAAATTAGATGTATGCCAATCCAAACTTGCATATTTGGACTGTATGTTTAGGATTTGCAAACATACATTGAAGTACTTGTTATATTTTATATAATGAAGCCCTGTATCTGGTGTTTACATTAAGTTTCTTTATAATATTTCACTCAAAGAAAAAAAAACAAACTCAGAGGTGTTTTCAACATGCGATTGGTGTCCAGAAACTAGCTATCTGGTGGACCAAGAGTTAGGCCAGGAATGGGATGAGACTCATAGGGAGAGCCAGCTGGCAGGTTTCTCCTGGGGACAACCTGAAGAAGCAGAAGCTCCAAGATTATTATTGTTCCCTTTAGTCTCCTAGCATCTTCAAAGGGTAGAGAATCAAACCTCTTCCTTAGTAGTTCAGTCCACTGAACTGTGTGGGTTAATCTAGAGTCAGTGCCAAAGTATTCAAGGTCAGAAAGTTGTAGTAGGAAGTTATTCCTCTAACTCTGGTTCTAATCAAGACCCTGAACCAAACCAGGGGTAATGGCACAAGGGATGAGATAGATTTGAGAAAAAAAAAACAAGAGGCAGAATCAATAGTAGATGAGAATAGGGGAAAGAGAAACGTACTTAAAGAGTGAGTGCCTGGTTTCTGCTATGGGGCACTTGAGCTATTTGTAGGGCCATTAGCCAAGACTGGGGAGGCAGAAGGGCAGAGACTGCCTGAATGTTAATAGCACGAATCACACAGACCTATGTGCTTGAAACAGTTAAAATATTCAAAGTTGAATGAAACACATGAACTGAAATATGAATCTGTTTGGTATTCTTAACACACACACACACACACACACACACACACACACACACAATGTCTTTAAAATCATCAGCATGCTCAAAGCTGGGCAACAGTGCCTTCTGTATAAAAGAAGAACATGGTGCAGATGGACAAGCATTTCCCCTTTTAAAAATCCCTGAGTTAAATGCTGCATCCATCACTCCTGCTCAGATTCTGGGGGCTCGGATTTTATTCTGTTTATATCCTGGGAATTTTTATGTGTTTCATCTCCACAACTGCTGGTGAATTGTAAGCTATTATAATAGTCTACTCTGTAACTTTCCTATCCCGCGGGGGCTGCAACCCAAGTATTGATATTATTGGTGGCAGCTATTACTGCCGTGTTCTAAAAATGATTCTGTACTTTCTTCATTCCTTCTGCATTTATTAATTGAAATTCTTCTGTAAGGAAGAACTGTCTCTTCTCTCTCATTTATTTATTCAACTATAAATGTGTGACTGAACTTGGAAATTGGAGAGGTTCTCATCCAGTTACATTTAGACTATAAATTCTGTTTTCTTTCTTTTTTACTTTTTATTTTGAAATCATTTTAGATTCACAGCAAAGCTGTAAAAAAATAGTGTAGAGATTTCCCAGCACCTACCACTCAGCTTTCCCTAATGTTAACATCTTTTATAAAGTTAGTACAAATGCCCAAACTAAGAAGTAAGCATTGGTCATTGGTAATACTACAGGCCTTAGGGCTTCAGAAATTACAGACTTTATTTAAACTTGACCATTGTTTGCCATGAATGTCCTTTTTATTTTAGGATTGTACATTGCATTTGTCATGTTTCCTTAGTCTCCTTGGATCTGTGCTATTTCCTCAGTCTTTCTGTGGTTTTTATGACTTTGCCATTTTTTCAAAAAGAGAACTGGCCAGTTATTTTGGAGAATGCCTTCAGTTGGGAGGCATCTGATGTTTTTTCACAGTGAGACGAGACATTTGGGGCAGGACTACCACAGAGGTGATGTTGTGTCGTAGTGCAGCACACCAGGGGTCACGTGATAGTCATGCTTCATTACTGCTGATGCTGACCTCGGTCATTTGGTTATGGTGAAGTCTGCCACGTTTCTCCACTCTGAGGCTGCTGTTTATTCCTTTGCAGTTAATAACTGTATGAGAGAGATCATTTTGAGATTATCCAAATGGTTGTTGCCCCTCCGTCTTTCTCTGCTAATTTTAGCATCTGTTGGTATTGTCGATGGTAACTATTAACGTCATATTCTAAAAATGGTTCTGTACTTCCTTCATTCCTTCTACATTTATTAATTAGAATTCTTCTGTAAGGAAGAGCTGTTCCTTCTGTCTCATTAATATATTTATTTAACCACTAATTGATATCAGTAAAGATTCCATATTTATTTATTTATTTATTTGGTACCAGGGATTGAACTCGAGGACACGCCACCACTGAGCTACATCCCCAGCCTTATTTTGTATTTTAGAGATAAAGTCTCACTGAGTTGTTTAGCATCTTGCTTTTTGCTGAGGCTGGCTTTGAACTCGCAATTCTTCCTCCTCAGCCTCTTGAGCCCCTGGGATTACAGGCGTGCGCCATGCCGCCCAGCTCCATATTTTATTTTAGCCCCTGGGTCATGATCTAATACTACTGTTATTTATTTTGTTTCTCAGATGGTTCCAGTTTGTGCCACTTGGAGCTCTTATCAGAATGGCTCTGTTCTAACTTGTTTTGAAACATGGATAGGGATGAAGTGCTGATTTCCTGTTCCTACCTGTGAGCACCTGTGTGTTGCTGTCATAGATATCTGACAAGGGCTGGGGTGAAAGGTTCAAGTGGACACGACGTGGAGGCTGAGATGCTGATCCTGGGGCTGGGAACTGCTGGGATTTCCTAAGGAACCAGATCCAGGCCCCATGGGCCACACACAGAGCTCCTTCTTTATTTATAAAATAGCCAGAAAGTATTTTCTCACTTGTTTATAAAAACAAGGAAAGAGCAAAAGGGCGAAGATCCCTCTTCGCAGGTGTATTCAGGAGCCAGCCAAACACCCAAGTCGCGAGGTTTAGTATTCTCGCAGATCCAACCCTGTCTTGCCTTTCCTACTTAGATCCCTGAATCCTCTCTTATGAGATAAATTCTCTCTTTTTCTTATTATCGATAAGAATTCTATAATCTAACTTATCATGGTAGAATCTTCTCCCTAAAATATCAAGCCTCAGGTTAGGGTAGTTCAGTGAATGGTTAAGGAGACAAAAATGTTCTGGCTTTCTCCTTGAGATGTCCAAGCCAGTGGTTTACTCCACAAACCTTTTATTCCTTTCTCACCTTCTATCACAGTTAACACCCCCCTTAAAATAACCAGGCAGTTTGTTATTAAGCAAAATGACCATGTAGTCTATTATTAAGCAAAATAACTATGCGGTCTGTTATTAAGCATTTACCCATACATGGTGATAGATTACATGGTCTGTAAAGAAAATCAAGGTGAATGGATGGAATGGATGATAGAAGCTCAGAGTTGGGCCCTCTAATTCCCTCTTAGTTGAGCAGCAAGGTACTTTGTATTCCCTTGTTCAGTAATTCTGTCCCCAGCTACTTGCTTAGTGTTCTCAGGAAAGCGTGCCTTAGGAAGCCTGGGTAAGATATTACAGGACTACTGCTTCAACACCCACAAACAGTTGGAAGTTTGAGGCAGTTAGCACACACTTTGGCAAACAGTGGCATTTTCACATGTGGATAAAGGCATGGGTTTTTTTTTTAAGAAGATCTTTAAGACGACCCTGATTTCAGTTTGATGCATCTTATCAACCAGTAGTTTTCTTTGATTCCCTCCCCCTCCTGCCCACAAACTAGAAATCTGGCATTTCTAAGCCTTGTGCTGATTTTCAAGAGGCTGGTTCTCAGGGTGACTTACTAAGGGCCACTCTTTCTTTTTCCTTTCATAAAGCAGGGATTGAATTTTAATTGGCCCATTCACAGAGGTGACTTGAAATGAGAGTCCCTCCCACTTACACTGAGCTGG